ATTCCAAAAAAATAAGGATACTGAGAGCTTGTAGGATCTATTGCGAAATGATGAGATTCGTTAAGGGCTGCAAAACGAGGATCATTGACATTAATCTCAAAAGTATCTTCTTGAACATCTTTTTGATTCTTCCTTTTTCTTTTCTTTTTTTCATTTTTGATAATCTCTTTCATATCAAAATGTTTATTTTCTTCTTCATCATCCATAACAAGAAGTTCCAATTCGGCTCTCTTTCTATCTGCTTCGATACGCTCTTCGTTAGATATCTTTTGTTTGCGTTTTTTTGAGCTTACAAAGAATGGATCATCCAATACATCAGTGGCACTATCAGACATTTCTGCATATATAAAAAATCAAATTATTAAATATCAAAGAATTATATACAATTTATTTGCTAAAATTACGAATAGAATTCTTACCATTTTTAATAGTTTGAGATCTATTTGCCTTTTTGACAGCTTTTCTTTCTCTCCTTTTTTCAATTTGTTTACGTTTATATTTTTCTATAGTAGTTTCGTCTTCAATAGGCTGTTTAAAAAAATTTATTAAAGTTAATAAATACATAGCAAAAAAGGGTGATTACATTGTACATTACTTTGTCCGTAGAAGTTTCTGTAGCATTTTCGTTTAGTCCTGGAGTAAATGTAATTTCCATATCTATATCATCGTTTAAATCTTTATTATCTAATTCGTTAACAAGATTTTTGTATTTTTGCAAAGATGTTTCATCGTTTTCATCAGATTCTTCGCTGGATGAAGCAAGATAAGTTTTAAAATCCATCTCTTCAACATCCTTATTTGAGAAGCTCCGCTGTACTATCCTGACACGATCCGGATCATCTTCATCCCATGTTAACTTCACATCGGAATGTTGCAATACCTGTATTAATATGGAGAACGCGATAAATAAATATGATAAAATAAATATACTCCTAGAATGCTAACTCTGGTAATGTATTTGCGTTTATGATCAGCAAAATATATATAGAGTATTAACAGGGCAGAAATCTAATAAAATTTAAAATATTATAAAACTTTGAGCAAAGATACCTTAACGACCACTTGATTAAATTCGATGAAAATTTTTTTATTTGAATTCTACGAATCTGTTGAATTCAGATAAAAAAGTTTTTATCGAATTTGGTCATGCGGGCGCTGAAATATCTTCAACGTCTATCAAAATAGAAGCTGCGCCAAATTATTTTTAAAACTTTGAGCAAAGATATCTCAACGACCACCCGACTAAATTTGATGAAACTTTTTTTATATTAATTCTACAGATTAGTAAAATTCAAATAAAAAATTTTTCATCGAATTTAGTCAGGTGGTAACCGAGATATCTTCGCTCAAAGTTGAGAAAATTCAAAAAGTTGTGCAAATCATTTTTAAAATTTGAGCGAAGATATCTCAACGACCGCCTGGCAAACTTATGAATTTTTTTATTTATTTGAATTCTAGAAATAAGTAGAATTCAAATAAAAAAATTTTCATCGAATTTGGTTAGGTGGTCGTTGAGATAACTTCGCTCAAAGTTGGACAAATTTCAAAACATCTATTTAAATAGAAGTTGCGCCGAATATTTTTAAAACTTTAGGCAAAGATATTTCGACAACCACCTGACCAAATTTGATGAAATTTTTTATTTGAATTCTACAGCTTCGCAGAATTCGATTTAAAAAAATTTCCACCGAATTTAGTCACTCAAAGTTGAAAAAAATTCAAAACATCTTCATGTATCAAAATAGAAGCTGCGCCGAATTATTTTTAGAACTTTGAGCGAAGATATCTCAACAAGCAGATGACCTAATTCGGTGAATTTTTTTTTATTTTCATTCTATTAATCTGTAGAATTTGAATAAAAAAAATCTTCATCATATTTGGTTAGGTAGTCGCAAAGATATCTTTGCTTGAAGTTTTAAAAATAATTCGACGCAGCTTCTATTTTGATAGACATTGATTTTTTTTCTAGCTTTGAGCGAAGATACATCGGTGACCACCTGCCTAAATTCAGCGAAAATTTTTTTATTTAAATCCTAAGAATCTGTAGAATTTAAATAAAAATCATCAAAT